TTCAAATCAGAAAGCTTGTTATTTTGGGAGTTAAGGTACAGAATTGTTCAAGGCATGACTTCGGGGTTGCTCTATCTACATGAAGATGCGCAGCAACCTGTGTTGCACACGAATATCAAACCGAGCAATGTTATGGTGGATTCTGATTTCAACGCAAAACTTGGGGATTTCGGGCTCAGCAACAGAAAAGAGCCACATATGATAACAAGAAGCTACATGGCTCCTGAATATATCATGGGACAGTTAAGCAATAAATCAGACGTCTTCAGCTTCGGAATTGTTGCTTTGGAGATTTCCTGCGGAAGAAAGCTCATCGATCCAAAATTTGGAGGAAGGCAAGTCGATATGGTAGAGTGGGTTTGGGAGCTTTATGTAGAAGGAAAAGTTATCGAAGCAGCTGATCCAAAATTGCGTGGAGATTTCAATGACAAACAAATGGAGTGCTTGTTGATTGTGGGGCTGTGGTGTGCTCAACTAGATTACAATTTAAGACCTTCAATGCGACAAGCATTTCACACGCTAAACTTCGAAGTTCCATTACCCATTCTCCCATCAAGGATGCTAATGGGTACGTCTCCTCCGGCAATAACGCTTTCAAGGTCGCCTAGCACTATTGGTTCTGAAGGAGGGCAAATGGAGTCTGGTTATGGTAATGCCACCAGTTCCTCAGAGATCACTGAATCTTCAGCAATGGAGTCTGGCTATGTTAATGTCGATTCCTCAGAGATCACTGAATCTTCAATAGTGGAGTCTAGTTATGGTAATGCCACCAATTCCTCAGAGATCACTGAATTTTCAACAATGGAGTCTAGCTATGGTAATGCCACCAATTGCTCAGAGATCATTGAATCTTCAGCAATGGAGTCTGGTAATGCCACAAATTGCTCAGAGATCATTGAATCTTCAGCAGTGGAGTCTGGCTATGGTAATGCCACCAATTCCTCAGAGATCACTGAATCTTCAGCAATGGAGTCTGGCTATGTTAATGTCAATTCCTCAGAGATCACTGAATCTTCAGCAATGGAGTCTGGCTATGTTAATGTCAATTCCTCAGAGATCACTGAATCTTCAGCAGTGGAGTCTGGTTATGGTAATGCCACCAATTCCTCAGAGATCACTGAATCTTCAACAATGGAGTCTGGCTATGGTAATGCCACCAATTGCTCAGAGATCGTTGAATCTTCAGTAGTGGAGTCTGGTAATGCCACCAATTCCTCAGAGATCATTGAATCTTCAGCAATAGAGTCTGGCTATGGTAATGCCACCAATTCCTCAGAGATTACTGAATCTTCAGCAGTGGAGTCTGGCTATGGTAATGCCACCAATTCCTCAGAGATCACTGAATCTTTAGCAATGGAGTCTGGCTATGTTAATGTCAATTCCTCAGAGATCACTGAATCTTCAGCAGTGGAGTCTGGCTATGGTAATGTCACCAATGTTGTGCGCAGCGGAAGTAGATTGCACTGGGGTGGTGGATATGAAACCGTTGAAACAACAAGAGCAAAATATGAAATACA